CTCCCCTCTCTTAGTTTAAAACCATTTCCTCCTGTCCTGTCACTATCTGACCATGGAAAAAGTCGCTTTCCCTCCTGTTTCTAAGCTCCCTTCAAGTACTAAAAGGCTGCAGTGAGGTCTCCCTGGAGCCTTCTCTCCCTAAACAAGCCCAGGTCCCTCAACCTTTCTTCATAAGAGAGGTGCTCCAGCTCTATGATCATCTTCATGGCCTCCTCTGGACCCAATCCAACAGCTCTACATCTCTCTTGTGTTGGGGGCTCCAGGCCTGGACACAATACTCCAAGTGGGGCCTCACAAGGGCAGAGTGAAGGGGGACAGTCCCCTCCCTCTCCCTGCTGCCCACCCCTCTTTTGATGCAGCCCAGGATACAGGGACCTTCCAGGTTGCAGTCGCACACGGCTGGCTCATGTCCAGCTTCTCGTCCAGCAGGACTCCCAAGTCCTTCTCAGCAGGGCTGCTCTCCATGAGTTCTTCTCCCAGCCTGTGCACATACCTGGGATTGCCCCAACCCGAGTGCACAACCTTGCACTTGGTCTTGTTGAACCTCGTTAGGTTCTCGTGGGCTCACTTTTCAAGCCTGTCCAGGTCCCTCTGGATGGCATTCCTTCCATCTATTCTATCAACTGCACCACTCAGCTTGTGTCATCAGCAAATGTGCTGAGGGTGCACTCAATCCCACTATCCAGGTCACTGATAAAATATAAAAAGGCTTTTTTTGAAGCAGCAGGATGTTCAGAGGGCAGTGGACCTTCCTCAGCTCCGTTTGAAGGAAATGCAGAGGGCATTTGAGTGTTTTGTCCTTTGCTTCTCTGGAGTGAAGATCAGTCTTCTCTCTGCTCGTGGTACAGCCGAGCAGGCTGGCTAGAAAAGCTGCCTAGGAACCTTGATTTGCAGCCAAGCCAAAAAAATGGAGCAATTAACACCTTCATTTTGATAGCAGGTTTTGATAAGGTTGGGTATAAGGCAGAATCCAGTCCATTAGGGAGATTGGTTGTGCAAGGCAAGAGAGAGATTTCAGGTTGCTGTGCCAAAATACATGGAGAATTTGGGTTACAACACAGGGAGGTGAAAGTCCCTGCTCAGAATGCTCGGGGGCACGATACGGCCTATCAAATTCACCTCCAAACAGCCCGGGGCAGGGCTCCGAGATCTGTGATATGGGTCGATTGCTCTTTGTCCTGAGTCAGAGCAATGCTCCTCTCATTCTTCACATTCCTAAACTGTTCACCTTTCCCCACCCAGCTCTCAGCAGAGACAACATCGCTAACTCAGCAGGGAATGCTGGAAACAGCAAGGTGTTGCAAAGGCAGGACTGGAGGTTTTTACTGGGGAGAAACAAGCAGTTTGGTCTGACAGGGCAGAATGGCCCTGCTGAAAATGGGCTGCAGCACTGGGAGTCTTCGTTTTGCTGGTTTGGGAATAATGAAGGGTGGCTGAGGTGGCTGAAAGAAAAACAATGTTGTGATCTCTGCTGAGGAGAGGTTTGCCCGACCTACATATTTCTAAAGGGGGAGCTCTCCTGGTATCCTGAGCTGCAAAAGCTGAGCTTAGAGATGGAGAGTAGAGAGACCTCCGAGGCAGGTAGGGCTGTGGGCTGTAATGGCAGGAGACAAAAGCCTCACCTGGAGTGAACGTTGTAGCTCTTTAACGGGTCTCTCGGAAACGTTTTTCTAGTGCATGGAAGCGTGAAGGGGGATTTACGGAAAGGAGGGCTTATTCCACGTGTTGGAGGGAGTGGAGAAAATTCAGGAAGTGCTTTTTGAAAATTCCCTTTTAGGGAGCAGTGTACGTACGGAACGACAGTGCACAGAAAGCAGCCGTGACCACAAACGGAGCAGAAGTCAGGTTTCTTGAGGATTCAGAGTGGGGGACTAGTTTAATTGAATTTTGGATAATTTAAGACATTGAATACAAAAATAAGTTTTAAAAATATTTTGAGACGTTTATGTAAAAAGAGTATGTTTTTGTTAAGCAGCACAATGAAGGATTTGGGCTGGAAATTAAAGAGCAGTTCAAACAAAAGCAAAACACAGTGCTTGGGGTTTTTCTCTTCTTCTGTGGTCAATCTGCCGAGTGTCTTTTGTGTCTTGATTGTTATTTTCAAACCGAAATGGCTGTGGGAGACAAGTTCAATGCTATTCACAGCTCTGCTCGTATTTTCAGCTAGAAGAAATTGTGTCCAAGGGGTGGGAGCGATGGTGAGGGGGAGCTTAGCCTTGTCTCCATATTTTGTTCTTGTCCAGGGTGTTGCCTGTTGAACATACTCTACATGGTACCAAAGTGTGTACAGAGTTACCTGATTTGGTTGAGGCTGCCAGAGTAGCAGTCACCTACTTAGGCAGGTCCATGTCGAATCCTTCTGGTGCACCGTGTATTTCTGGGTTCAGATCCAGGCTTCCTGATGATCTTCTCCATCGCCTTTGTGGGGTTTCCTGGGGTTGGATGTGGCTCTCATGTGGTGGTTAACGCTTGCTCTCCCCCACTGCAGGGTTTTGGCTGGTGTGGACCATCATCATCATCCTCAGCTGCTGTTGTGTTTGCCATCACCGACGCACCAAGCATCGTCTCCAGGCCCAGCAGCGGCAACACGAGATCAACCTGATCGCTTACCGGGAAGCCCATAACTATTCAGCCTTGCCGTTTTATTTCCGTATGTACCTCACGCTGTTTTTCCTGGAGGCAGCAGCGAGTTTCCCATGTGGGGTGGAAGCAGGGAGCAGTGGCTGGGCTCAGAAAGAGGTGGGGGGCAGCTTTGCTGCTTAACCTTGGCTGGTAGAGCGGAGGTGACGTATTCCAGCTGCTGGATGCATTTTAGCCCCCTTGAGTCTGGGGTTGGACCACACCAGCTACAGCACCTTCACACCCACCCTTGATTTGGCTCTGTCAGTCCAGTCAATCCCTGGGTGTTTTTCTGGGAAGGTTCTTAAAATATCTCGTTCAGGGCTTTGTGGATGCTCCTCCTTTCCAGCCTGCGCTGGCTGCTGGTGGGACTGAGATGTGGGAAGTGGCTTCACGAAAGTTGGTCACGCAGGCTGAGTGGAAGTGGTGTGTCAGCGGGGACCATGCTGGCTCCCGCCCTGTGCTGTGGTTCCCGGACAATGCTGCTGGTGAGCAGCCCTAGGAGTTTGCACGAAGGAGCTGTTGCCCACGGCTCAGGGAAAGTACAATCAGTTTGTTCTTTCCTTCGTACCCTGCTATGCTGTGCTAGAACAGTGAGTCTCAGTCTTTTGGCTGGAGGTACCGCAACTGAGTTTCCTGTAATGGACTGTTGAATTGCATGTATGAACTTGCTTTTCTCATTAAAACTCTTGCAGCCAGCTCAGAAGTGATCCCCAGCAGCGCTTTCCTCCCCAGCCCCAGGGATAGGCAATTGCACATGGAAAACTGCACTGCTGTCTTTAAAAGTTTCCGGTATTTTGAGTCCATTCTGTCTATGTAGACTATTTTGTTGCCTCTTTAGAAGTAAGCAAAATCTTTCATAGGTTTGAGGGGCTGTAAGTAGGACAAACCACACTCTCTTGCCAGTACTGCCAATTTATTCTGACCATATCAGCAAAACTGAATCCAGCGCTAAAACAACCACCAAAACCCAGGATCCTAAGTTCTTTGTAACTGCTCGTGTCCCTTCATTTTTGCACAAAGAGTTCTGAGATGCAGTCTTTGCTCTTGAAAGCGGAAACTCATCTGAGAAGCGAGTGTTGGAGAGGGCTGGCGAGATGTCTCCTAGGTCATTCCTTCCAGCCAATGCAGACCATCCCTTGGTGTGGTTCATGGGGGCTGTATTGGGGTACAGGGCAGCGGGGGGAGGTTTGTCTGGCAGCCCTAAGCATAGACTTGACAGCAGGGAGATCAGGCTGCTGTTCCCAGCTGTGTCCATCTCCTCCTGTAATGGTGCCTTCCTGGGCTGCAATTACTGCTTCTCTGAAAGGTGACAGTGTCTCATTTGGGCCAAGTTTTGGCACCCCTTGTAAAGCCCGTTGAGCTGTTCAGTGGGAAGGTGCTGGTACATGACAAATGACATAACAACCTGTATTCCTGACTTGTTTGCTGAGATAAGCTGTTCATGAAATAACTTTTCCTCCTTGCCTCTCATTTTTAGGGTTTTTGCCAAATTATTTACTACCTCCCTATGAGGAAGTGGTGAACCGACCACCGACCCCACCACCACCATATAGTGCCTTACATCAGCAGTGCGTCCCAGCAGGCAGCAGTAGCACAATCCCAGACACGCCAAGAAACCTGCAGCCAGCACAGAGCAGCTCAGCAGCACCCAGCGGCAATAACAGCAGCGCTGACAACGCCGGGTCCCCCGGCCTTGGGGACCCCGAGCCCTCCACCACCACGCTGGTCGAGCGAGCGGTTGCCAAAATGCAAAGCGTCGAGCCCGGTGGCACCAGCACGGGAGCCGAGCTAGTGGAGAGGGCTGGTCCCGATAAGGATACGGAGTGCAAGGAGGAACTACTAAAAGGTTACAGCTCTGAGAGCTTAGAGCAGAGCAGCGCCATTCCTGAGGCGAAGGACAAGACGCCGGGCAGGCAGCGCCGCTTCACCGGCGACTCGGGCATTGAAGTCTGCGTATGCAACCGGGGCCATCACGACGACGACCTCAAGGAGTTCGACGGGCTCATCGATGATGCTCTGGATGGGCCCCTGGACTTCTGCGACAGCTGCAGCGGCCGCCCCCACGGGGACGAGGAGGAAGGGCTTTTTAATGCTGCGGAAGAGCAGCACCGTGAACACAGCCACCACCACTTGCCCCGGCAGCCGGTGTGTGTACTCTTGAACACAATAAATGAGCAGGACTCTCCAAACTCTCGTTCCAATAACTCCCCCAGCTAAGGTGGCAGAGTGGAAGGGAGAATTGGGGGAAAAAAAAACCAAGGAAATAAAAATGGAATAAGAGGATTAAAACTTTAACAGGAGGAAAAGGTGATACAACCTTCTTTTTTTAGTTTATTTTTCTTTCTCCCCCTCCAATGTAATTTGGGGACTAGTCCCTAAAGGCCCGGTTTGTGGGGGACGGGTCGCTCTGGGTTTTGTTAATCATGTCCGTACTGCTCCGCGGGGCAGGGACTGGTGTTTCTCAATGAGACCTTCTAACAAACGGAACTTTCCCAATGGTGATTTTGGTGATGGTTATTACGAGTTTGTTGGTTTTAGTTTTCCAAGACATTGCTTTATCTCACAATCAGTAAAGCTCAGTAGATCTCATCCTGGGAGGATACGAAATCACTGTAAGGCTTCAACCTCCAGGTGTCTTCCCAGAAGCAAGCAGCTTCTGACAGTGCCGGCAGTCAGTAGCCCAAGAGTTCAGGTTTGTTACGGTGCTCTTGAGGTGTTGAGGATTTCTTTTCATTTTAGTGCTTCTTTTTTCTTTTTTTTCTTTTTTTTTCTCTTTTTTTTTTTTTTTTGGCGTGTGTGTTAAGTTTTCCCGAAGCTGATGAATGACTGAACACATCAGCCCTGTAATCTCTGGTGCTTCAGTGTTTAAGACAGCAGGTAGGAAATTTCCCACTTGAAGCTGGTGACTGAAGGACCAGTTTCTTCCAGAAGGGGTGTTAGTCTACCATAAGCAGTTTGAAAAGAAAGGATTTGCAGAAATTTGCCTTTATATGTCACTTTTAAAGACAAGTATATTCCTTCAATGCCTCCAAGAGCACAGTTAGAAGTAGAATCCAGGCAGCTGGGCTGCCTTCCAAGTACTGTGGTCTCCGAATGACCTTTTCCCGGTGTGCTGCAAAAGGGCTTGGCTTTATTTTTTCCCTTTTTTGCACCCTGAGAGCAGCACACTTGAGTTAAGATGACAAAAAAAGAACAGGGCTCTCTTTGGCCAGCGTGCCTTCAAGCTTCAGCGATGCATGTTGAACAAATGGAGACGAGAGCTCCGTCCATTGCGAAGGGATGACTTACCATGTAGATGTGGAAGACCTGTGCAGTTTTTTGTTTGTTGTTTTTTTTTTCCATCCAAGAGCTTGGTGCAATTCTAATGTTGACCACTTAAAATAAATGAATGTCTGTTTTCTTTTTCTTTTTTTTTTTTTTTTTTTTTTAATGGTGGCAACTGGCTACTGTACAATGTCTGTGAGTGTGTGTGAGTGACTGCAATCCATGCATGCGAGTCCTACTGGTGATATGAAAACCTGCTGTAAGACTGCAAGAAAATTTACTGTAGCTTTGCTTTAATAAACGGTAGAGATGTTGTTAGTAACAACCCGAAGGGAAAAAAACAAAGAGCTGAAACTAACATTCCCTGGAGTGCTGGTGTGGAGGAGAGCACAGTTCAGACTGTGTGTCTTGTTCTTGGGTTTTCTCCCCATCCCTTTTATAATTATGGTCGTCCAGATCATTACTGTTGTGAGGGGGGGGAAAAAGTTGAAAACTGAACTCAGACATACTCAGATTTGATTGATTGAAAACCAAAATCAGTTTTAAATAAGGTGGAAACCAAAATATAATGCCTTTTCTGATAACTTGCCTGTGTGTATGTGTATCATTTTGTGAGTTAAGAACAAGATTTGTCTTTAGTTTGTGGTTTTATTTTGTTTTTTTTTACTGGAGGTATGTAGTGCTGTGCTGGATACCCATGTCAGCAGGACAACTGGTGCTTACTTCAGTATGTTACCCACATGTTTGAGGAGAGCACTTTTAACTCACAAGGTTTAGGAGAATCTCACTCCTTTGCCTGTCACAGCCTTTCTCTGCCATCAAAACAAGTCAGGTTCTTCAGTTGGTGTCTTAGGGTGCTCTTAAGAATGAAGGACCTTGATTTGGATTCAGGAGACCTCGTTCCTGGATGCCTGGAGCCAGGGGGGTGACAGAGAGACTGAGAGTTCCCCGGAGCTGGGCTGGCTCGCTGCGCCGCGGCCGCCTGGGGACTGGGTGCTTCCAGCTGTGTTCACCAATCCCTTGTATCTCTCTTTTGAGAAGAGAATTAAAGATCCCCAGTGCCACCCCTAGGAATTCTGTACGTATTGGCACCTTTGTTCCTGGCACCACAGAGGAAGCTAGAAAAGCACATCAGTCCTTACAGAGTCGGGTTTTAGTGCTGTAAATCCTGGGGATGGTCCCGTGCCAGGGGGAGACCCTCTGCCAACGTTTCTGTTGGCATAAGAGAAAAATCCTCCATGTTGGTTTCCCTGCAATCCCGCTAAGAGCAAGGGAACCCCCTGCTTCTCCAGACATAGAGGTGAGTGCCAGTAAGCCAAGCTGATGGATCTAATCTTAAAAAGTCAGGAAGAAGCAGTGGTGTGACTCGTGCTTGTTTTATGACTCCTGGAGGTTTTTCAGGCTTTTAAAGATCATAAAGAAACAAACAGGGCACAAACCATGTCTCTTAAGGTCACGTGTGCCTGAGACAGACTATCAGTGTGTGTGTCTTGGTGCTTCAGGCTCTTAGATCTGGACCAAGGGCAGCTGGTGTGGGGAGGAGGAGTGATGCAGGGCAGGACACGGGGCAGGTGATCTCGGAGACATCCTGGCTGGTGCCTCTTCAGGGAAAAAACATGGTCAGGCAGAGGACTCACAAAGCTCCTGCTTTGGTGTTTCAGAAAGGTGCTTGATCCCCACGAGTGTCCCTTTGTAGAAAGCCAACACGGGCCAAACAGGGGTCTTCTCCCAATGCACCCTGTGGGTGTAAATTGCTGGAGGTGTGAGGAGAGGGGCAGGTGCACATCTGTAGCACTGGAGCACCAAAACCCACCCATTTCCAGCTGTAAGGGCCGAGTGTTTTATGTGAGCTCTGAATATGTTGTTTCAAAACTGAGCTGCAAACAGTGCAGCCAATTGAGAGCAAATTCCTGTCCACCCAGTTTTCTTTACAACGTGCTCTAAGTGTTGATGCCAACAATACTTGAAGTCTGTTTTCGCTGGAGTCCATGGCAGTGCTGCTCACATGGTGTGTTTTCAGCTGCTGAAATTGGCTCCGTGGGCAAGGACCTGCGGGCATCCCGGTGGGGTTGGGGCGCCTTGCCTGGGGACAGGCGCTGCAGAACCCTGTGCAATGGCTCGGCAGGAGGGTCCCCTGGGCACAATGGGTGTTCCTGGGACTGGTGGGTACCACAGCATCACCTCGGTGTTCCCAAGGGACTTTTTGGCTCCAACAGCACAAACTCCCCCTCTGGGAACACCCGTGTGATTTTCCTGCAGCGTATCATTGCATGTTTGTTCAGCCCGGTGGATGGGTGTTGGTGGAAGATGGAGGAAGAGGAGGGAATTGTGTGTCTTGGTGTTTGCTGGCAGCCTGCTCTCAGAGCTTGTACCTGCCTGACTTGAGGCTAAGGAAAGCTGAGGTGCAGTTAAGCTTCTGTGTATATGTAGTCATGGAAAACTTCCTGGGGCCCCAAACCAGCGTGGGCCTCCAGCACGAAATCACAATCAGCAGGCTCTGCAGAAAGCGTGAGGCTGCGCTGCCCGGCGCTGGGAGCTTTGGGCATGAGTCAGCGGTGAGAGCCTGGGACACGCTCGCTTCCTGCCCGGCGTGAGCCAGCTCCCACAGCCAGACACCCTCTGCTCTCCCACACGCCCCAGTCGCACACGTCCTGCCGTGACCTGTTGGCAGGGAGCCGGGCCACAGTCCCACTCGGGTGAATAAACTCCCCTTGTTTCTCCATGAATCCTGTCACCTCCTGGCCCTCGCCCACCCTCCCTGTGCCACACATCCTGGAGAGGTTTTCCCTCTTTTTCTTTCTTTCTTTTTCTTTTTTTTTTTCTTTTCAGAGAGTGATTTTAGATAATATCTTGTGTTTTCTGAAAGCACAACTGAAAATAAAAGCTTCAAATCCTGTCACCTCCTGGCCCTCGCCCACCCTCCCTGTGCCACACATCCTGGAGAGGTTTTCCCTCTTTTTCTTTCTTTCTTTTTCTTTTTTTTTTTTTTTTCTTTTTCCTTCTTTTAGTCTCTATAGGCAACCCCTGGGGAGGGGGGCAGTGTGGCAGCCCCCCAGCTGGAGCCAATCCCCGCAGCATCCCATGGCAGGCAGCCTGGGAAGGACGGGATGAGTCGCCTTTCTTCGTCAGAGCTGTTTCCCCACTCCCTTCCAGCACAGATCTGGTTTTATCAGATGGGACTGGTGCC